CTCGGGATGCCTGCTGGAGTGCCCTAAGCATCTGTTGGACTGGAGATGACAGGTATTGCTTCAGATGCCAGGGTGGCAGAGCACATGTGGGAAAGGATTTATAAACCAAAGCAGCATTTCTTGCACCCACCTGCTCCTCTTCTCCTGTGCAGTGGTGATGCCCTTCAGTAAACTTCAGAAAGGGTTAGAGTTTGTTCGCTGCATGACGCCAGCCTTTTATGATGTTAAGATTTTGACTGTACTGACCTTTTGAGGCTTTAAGACCTTACTGAGCGTGTGACAGCAGCCATCTGAATTTTTGTGCGGTTTTGTCTTTCTCCCTTAACACCTGTGCCCAGGGTTTGATTAGGGAAGCCTGTAGGGAGTGGGGACTCCACCTGTTATGTGACCAGGATGTTCTTTAATAGTGATGCCTTCTTTCATCATCACCTCACCACTTCCTTGGCCTCACCTGACCTTACAACTGCTGGCCAGGCCTCCCTTAGGACCAGCCCGGTAAGCCCCACCTAGGTATACCCCCACTAACAAGGGAGCTGGTATCAGGTCCCCACACTGCAGAGGTGCCAATACCTACAATGCTGTAACAGAAGAATAATTGTAGCCTAAGACTGTCCAGAGGTTGATGGCTCTGTGTGGATCTCCAGATGGAGGGGGCCAGTACCAGAGATGGGGAGGGCCCAGTGTCGGGGGCTAAGGCCCAGCTTCAGGGCAGGCCTTCCCTCCAGATCCTCCTCCCGGGACCTTGGGATGGAAGAAGGCGAACCGTCTGGAGCGTGAAACCCTGAACTGTGAACGGGCTTGTGAGGATGTTGGCTTGGTCTAAAGCACCAGATGCATGATGATGAGGGCATGAGAATGCTTGTAAAGCTTGTCAGTCTTCAGGCATCGTATGATCAAAAAGAAGGGAAATTTGAGAAAGTCCAGCTGAATTGTTAGGGCCTGGCAGCTTCTGTCTGGCTGCCTAGAAGCTGTACCTGCACTGGCAGCCAGGTGCTTCCTAGCTGCTGGCCAGGGTCACCTGTCAGAGGGAGGGCACCTTGGCAAGGCAGCACGTGACAACTTGGTGGGCCCCATTTGGAGAAACTCCCACAAGTCGCATCGCACATGGTCAGGCTGTTGCAAGGTCTGAGTGCCAGATGCCAGAAGATGGGCTGAGTCATTAACATTGAGATTGACACAGGGTTCCAAGCTGGCGATGTAGCCAGGGAGCACCTGGGGGTGTGAGCGTGCAGTGCCTCACCCGAAATACAAAGGGCACCTGGGTTCCACCCCATGAATTTTCTGTCTCAATTAACGTGGGGCCTGATAAGCACCAGGCATTGTGCTGGGGTTTTATGGAGAGGGCCTTAGGCAGGCAGACTCCTGAAGAAGATGGTATCTAAGCAGATAATGAGGTGTGGATACTTCAAAGCCAAAGCGCAGAACTTCTGAAGCTAGAAAAGTTGGAGAAAGCTACAAAGCTTTTGACTGGGTCTTCAGAGAGGGCGTTTGGGGCAGAGGGACAGCACCTTGCAGGGCCAGAGCGTAAGGAGAGTGAATGTGTGAAAAGTGATGGGAAGCTTCTGTGGTGAGGATGGGCATTTGGTGGAGAGGAGGAAGGGGCAGGATGGGAGGGAGGGGCTGCTCTGCCGCCTGGGCCCCACGACATTTGAAGGTGTCTCCTGACCATTAAAAAAAAAGGTTTTGAAGGAGAATGCCTTCAGAGTTCCTGCCAACTCTGAGATCTTGAGGATCTTTTCACCAAGGAGGTCTGGATGGAATCATCAAGAATAGAGAAGGTGGACCGATGGCACCCTTGAGTGGACTCAGGAAGCACAGTGGGCCTGAGTGAGAACTGGCCTAAGTGGCACTGCGGGTGAGTCCACAGCAGGGTCCTGTGTGGAGTCCTGAGTGGGTCTGGGCAGGAATTGCACAGTAGCTGCACCAGTCCTTGGGACTGCAGAATTGAGAACTGCTACACTTAGGTCTGGGGGGTCGGGGGAAGGAATCAAAAAACAAATTGAATTAAAGTAACGAGGTAACTTCTAATGTTAAAAAAAAAAAGGCACAAACTTCCTCTCTTAATCCCTTTGAAAGCTTCCAAAACCTGTTGAGCAACCAAAGAGGACATCTAGGGAACAGCCAGCCTGCACCCCCAGCATTGCAAGAACTGCCTTTCTTACTACTGCTCCTCTCCCCCAGCCAACACCCTGCCGCGTCTTTTTCCTTGTTTTTAGAAACGCTTTCTCCTGCCCCTTTGTTAGTTTCTCTCTTTTAAAATAAGTTCTTGGCCTTGTGCAGTGGTGCACTTTGGGTGTACCCCCAGCACTTTGGGAGACCAAGGTGGGGGGATCACTGAAGCCAGGAATTTGAGATCACTGGGCAACATAGTGAGACCCCATCTCTACCAGAAATTATTTTAAATAAATTTTTAACATAAAATAAATGAACAGAAAAAGTTATCAGACTATGATTTCAGTAAGGGGTGAGGTGGATCCTGTGTGACTCTGTCCCGGCCTTGCCTTATGCCTCCTCTCCAGCAGACTATGATTTCTGTAAGGGGTGAGGTGGATCCTGTGTAACTCTATTCCAGTCTCGCCTTATGCTTGTTCTCCATCAGTCTAAGGTGGGAGCTGCAATGTCATTTTCTTTTGTCTAGAAAAACAAAATGTTCCTACTACTGTTGGCAGTGGAACCGACATTTTAGCTTATCTTTTAGACAAGACCAAGATCTCAGGTGCCTTCTGCATTTTTCAATCCAGGGAGCCCGGTCTCTTGAAAGTGGCCAGTGGCGCTGAGAAAGTAAACCCTGTACACATCCAGCCTCTCTGTGCTTTGTATATTTCTACCCAGATACTAACAGCAGGACTCAGTGCTGAGTGTAAGATTGTCACTGAGTCCACCTGAGGGAAATCAGTTTTAGGAGAGGAAGCCGTTCCCTTTGGGAACTTAGTGAGTTTTCTTGATGCCAAGCACATTAAGCCTTACTATGCCACACTCCTGAATGGTTTGGATCTCCTGGCTCCCCATGGCTGCTCTCTCCACCCATGATGGGGATTGAGCCTCCAGGCTTCCTGCTCCAAGCCTCTCTGGCCCCAGCACTGGCACTGTGTTCTTTCTACCCAGAATGCCCCCTCCTCCCCTTCAGCTTATCTCTTCTCATTCTTCAGAGCCCAGCCCAGCAGTCACTAAAAGAAATGCGCATTCCCAGTCTTGCTCACCACCACAGATACCCTTGTTCAGACCTCTCAGTGCACTGAATTATACACTTAAAAATGATTAAAACAGTAAATTATATTTATGTATATTTTACCCATACACACACAAAATTCTTCTTGCATCTCTCGTTTTTCCTTTTTAGCACTTACCAGTTGTAGATAAATAATTGTATAGGTTGGTATCTGTCTCCTTCCTCTGTAAGCTCAGTGTCGGCAGGGGGCGTGGGGGGCCCTCACCTGCCTACTCATTGCCGTGATCAATGTGGTAATAGGGCATAGCAGGCACCTGAAGATGACTTGCTGAATGAATAATGAATTAGACAGCAGATGACAAGGCCACAGTTTCAGTCTTTCCTGAGTCATTCCTGTCTCGTGCCTCTGGCTTTTCTCCCTGCTCAGCCTTCCAAGGTCATCCGGTAAATACTTTAGGACTGGCTGAAGACCTTCCACTTAATGTCACATTAATATTCTCAAAGGCTTTATTGCACACTCTTAAGGTTCTTTTATGTGTGGACTGGTGCCACTGACCACGACCCACTCTGCTGTGTGCCCATCCTCACAGGGCAGCAGGTGCCCTCATCGTGTGGGTGTCTGCATGGTTTCTGGATGGTTCCAGGGGTCCCCTCATAATTTCAGTTCAGAGATGGGCAAGAGTTTGCCAGTTTTGCCAGTTTGCCAGTTTTGTCTATTACTAGTTCTTCTCAAAGTGACTCTTCTCTTTTTCTAGAACAAAAAGTATAGTGCAAATGAGGAATGGAAGGAAGCCATTCATTGGTTCATTCTGCATCATTTACTGAATGCTGATAAAATGATAGTCAATGAGAATTCACAGATGGGTTGGACAGAGGTGCTACCCATAAAGCGCTCAGCTCTGCTTCTGTTATTGATTGTATTTTATTTCTATTGATTGTATTTCTCTTGATTCTATTTTTATTGATTGTATTTCTGTTCCCATAGTTTCTCTATAATTAAAGTGTGCTCCAGGAAGGGTACTTCTGTTTCCTTGTGGGTGTTCATGTGATCATGGAGACATGGTTTGGAAGGATAAATGTGCTCTGCCTTGCTGTTTTGATAGTGAAGAATGGAAAACAGGGAGACAGACAGCGAGACCACGGCTGGATCGGCCATGGCGTGCAGACAGGATTTAGATGGCGTCTCCTGTTCTAACTAAAATGTTGAGCTGAGGTCAGAGCCGTGGACAGGAAAATGACTGCATGAGCTTTTTGAAACTGGCTGGCCATTTGAGCTGAGACAGAGCTCACTTACGGTGCTTCTGTGTGGGTGGCCTCACCGGGGGCTGTCCCAGAGGCCGCAGGTCAAGCGTCTACTTGGTGCCTTCCACTAGAGGAATGTCCCTGGGTAAAATGGGCCCAAGAGGACCAAGTCTGAGGTGCGAGCCTTGTGGCTATGCCTCTGCCCTCTGATCTGTGCGTTTGGGAGTCATTGGTCCTGGACCCCCGAGAAGTGCGTGAGGCCTTTGAGCTGCAGGGCCGAGTCCTCAGGACCCCACCTGCCAGCACCACCCTCACGTCTGTCCTCTCCTCAGGTTCCTCTTGATGATGGGCGTGCTCTTCTGCTGCGGAGCCGGCTTCTTCATCCGGAGGCGCATGTACCCCCCGCCGCTGATTGAGGAGCCAGCCTTCAATGTGTCCTACACCAGGCAGCCCCCAAATCTCGGCCCAGGTCAGCCAGCCCTGTCCTTGTCTCTCCTCCCCGCAGTGTGTGTCCTCTGCCAACATTTATAAAGTGTACTGCTGCAGAATGTGCCAGAAGAGAGAGCTCAGGTGTGTTATTCATTTTTCTAGTTCTGATGACCAGCTCCATTGTGCATTTGTGCAGATAACAAACGTAAGGTATATCGCACACCCGTCGCCTCATATTCTTACAGTTATCAGTGTGCCACATATGCACGTGATGTGATGCAGTTTGTATAAGCATATTATTTGCTCTCTGCCTTTTTCCTTAAACATTATTTCACATATAAATTTCTGTGTAGGAGCGGTAATACCCCTGCCATTGTTAATGCTTGTGGACTAGATATTATGTTACTAAACGGTAATTTGCTTATTTTATTATTGCTGATAATTTGTTTTGTTTTCTCATGTTTTGCCTTTTATTCATGCATTCAACAAGTATTGATTGTGCGGTTACTAGTATTCCAGATACTTACAAAGACTGTAGCAATAGATGTTTTTGTATAGGTCACATTTTAGTCTGTTTAGTGCATATCACCCAAAGTGACATCCCAGGGTCAAAATGAATTAGCTCTTTCTTAATTCTTGTAAAACATTGCCTTAGCCATCTAAAACTCCTACATGCTGTGGTGGGTGGTATGGACTCCCTCAGGACACAGGCCAGGGAGCTCTCTGATGACAGCGGGGAGCCAAGGGTCCTGGAGGGCTGGGCTGGCTCCGCTCATCAGAGCACTGGTCTTCTGGCCAGGTGTAGATTGAGGCTGGGCAGAGGGGCGTTGCTGGTGTCTGTGCCGCCCTGCTCCCAGCCACAGTTTCCCCCTGGGAGCCTGGGGATGGGACTCTCTATTGATGGCACACTGTGGATAGGTGGTCAGTTCTAGGAGCAGTGGTTGCCTTCACTTTTACAAAATTTCAGTTAAGAAAAATAAGTCCTAGAGATCTGTTGTACAGTGTAGGACCTACAATTAATACAACTATAATGTATAATTAAAATTTTGCTAAGAGGGTAGGTCTTATGCTAAATGTTCTTATCACACAAAAATAACAACAGAAAGAGCAGAGAAAGCTTTTGTAGGTGATAGAGATGTTTATGGAATAGAGTGCGGCGATGGTTTTCTGGATGTGCCCCTGTCCTTAAACTCATCAGGTTGTAGTCTTAAACACGCACAACTTTTTGTCTGTCAATCAGATATCAATAAAGTGGTTTTTAAATGGGAGAGAAGTAGAGGGATTGAATATAAAAGGAGAAAATTATCTTCTCTCTTGTTTTCCTGAGAGAACAGGCTGTTATCAAGATGCAAAGTCATTTGCGTATTTGTTCTTTTACAGCTTTCTTCCACCAGATACTCCACAGGGTTTTCCTTTCAGAAAGAATTTTATTTATTTTAAAAAATGTTGTTCAGAAAAATAGAAAATGTATTTTCCACAGCAGTTCACTGGGAGCTGTGCCTTAAACTTTCAGCCAGGTTAGTACCATTTTGAATCCATAAGTGGATTTTAGTCTTTGATATTTGGAAATATTTGAATCATTTCAGATTTGTGCTGTATCAGAGGGCAAAGTGCAAATTTCTGTTACAATGAGAGATGTAAGCCGTCACTCAGTGGGTCTCATCTGGATCAGTCAGAGAGGTTTTAGTGCAGGGAGGAGCAGCCCCTGCCCCACTTGGCATGGGAGGCCCCACAGCCCCCAGTGCAGAAGGCTACATGTCCCTGGTCTGTGGTCCTCAGAGTCTACCGCTCGTGTGAACTGGGGCTCTTGTGAGTAGGTGAGGTGCTGAGACTGTGCCTGCAGCTGCATAATTCTTTTGAACCCTGGCATGCCAGGGTTTCGAGAGGAGAATGCATCCCTGTGTGCACTCCTTTCTGGCCCCATCCCTCTGTTCTGCAGAACCCTGCACCCCGTCTACCCCCACCCCATCTGTCTGGGAGAATCTCCAACAACCAGGCCATTAGATTTGCCACATCCCTTATCTCACCCTGGTGCAGTGCCTGCTGGCCACTGGTCTCCGCCAGCTCCTCTGTCTTCCACTTGGCTATCAGAAGGGTCTTAAAAAACAAAAAACAGAAGCATATCGGCCGTGCTGTTTTTCTGCGGCAGGGTCTCTGCCAGCTCACCTGGCTCACAGTGTTAAGTCCAGAGTCCCTAGCTGAGGACCGAGGACGCGTTCACAGCTTCCTCAGACCCATCCCCGCTACTCTGTGTCCAGTTTGAGTGACCTCCTCTCTCTAGTCCTGCATCGTACTGAGGCCTGCACACACCCTCCATCTGCCTGGAAAATGCTGTCCTCCAAGGTGCACCTTCCTCCAAGGTGCTGCTCTGTGTTGCGCCCATAGTGAAGTTGTCTCTGGCTGCTTCACATCCTCCACTTTCTCCCTGGGTGCCCCACCAGGGGCTTTACCAGCTTTAATCCTCCACGTTTACACTGGGCTCCCCACGGGGCTGTGTACAGGACTCATGGTCTGAGGCACCAAGTAGATGCCTGTCCGGCCCTCGTCCTCAGGCTGGGTGAACTGCAGGAGCTCCCAGGTTTGCAGCCTGGTAAACCAGGGTCGCGATGCATCACAACCACAGTCACAGCCTGGAGCACAGACCTGCCTGAATTGCTGTCTTGGTCCATATTTACTACACACCTGGTGAGATGCCTGCAGGAGCTCAGAACACCGCACAGCCTGGACGCCCGCTCTCAGTCACCGCTGCATGCATAGCTCCAGCACCCGTGTGAGCTTTGGCACAAACAGCTCTATAGTGAGTGACCATCATGAGTGCAAGGGAGAGAAAGTCGAGAATGCTAGGAAACCGTGTAGGTAGGAGACTCCATCTGGTGCACAACTCCAGGAAGGCTTCCCACAGAAGAGCCATTTGGATTAAGAATAAGTAAGCCCCCAGCTCCCTAGAGTGAGCGGCTGCTGGTCCCAGCGCATCTTCTCTGACCAAAATGTAGACTTGGTTTGCCATCACTTTTTCATTTTATACTTCTTGCAGGCCTGCAGTGGTGTGGCTGATCCCAGGATATCCAGACTGTCATATGAAAGTAGGCTCCCAGGGCTCCTGGGAGTGTACAGTTTCCATCATTTCCCTGCCAGGTCCAGGGCCGGATCATTTGTTAACAGTGCTGAGCTTGGGAAGAATTCAGCTGCTTCCTAGACAGAGTAATAGTGAACACAAGAATGGGGTCAGCAGGGTCCTGCCTGCTGTTGGTCTGGACACCCACCTCCTCTGGGGGTGGCTTCACCCTGCTGCAGCTGTCTGCTCAGATCCCATACTATCTGTCGCGTGGGCCCTGGGAGCGTGGGGACTGAGGAGGGCCACACAGAGGTTGGCAGTCCAGGGAGAGAGAGGAGCCGAGGGATCCCAATGTCCCATGTGGTCCACAGGGAAAATGTCATGCCCGAGGCTGCCCGGGCAGTGCCAAGGTGTGCAGGCATCTGCACAAAGCAGGGTGAGTGTTAGTGAATTTTCGGCAGAGCCTCATTTCTCCTCTGCTGGTCTGAGAGGGGAAGTGGGTTTAGGCGTGGGATACCTGTTAATGAAGATGAAAAGCAGAGGGATTTAGAGGACCCAGACTCATCCACTGTGTTAGGGGAGGGCAGTGGCTCATACTGTGGGGTGCAGGGGGGCTCGCGTGGCACTCCTGCTGGGACAAGCATCACTGATGAGCATGGGAAAGCAGAGAATCTGTGCATTGCAGAGGCTCCTGGTCGGGGAGGGGAGGAAATTGGCAGCATCGTGGTCGTGGGGGTTGGTGTGGGTTGGGGCAGGACTCTGAACGTGGTGGAAAGGGGCTGGCAAAGTCAGCATGAGGCTGAGGTTCAGAGGTGGGGCTCCAAGGCCAGCCCAGGAACCAGGACCCAAAGGCTGCAGCTGCTGGCCGCAGGGCTCAGGGCCTGGCTGGATTGTGCAGAGGCTGAAAAGTGGGAGGAGTGTGGAGTAGCTGTGGTTTGAGGAAGAGGCCCTGGTCAGGGAGTTAAGAGGCCTGAGGTCTGTGAGACCCAGTGTAGGCCACGGTCCCTTCTAAACCTCAGCACCTTAACTGCAAAACGAAACGGTTTGCAGAAAAGCACTTCTCATTCTATGTAATCTATGCATATAGTATCAGCCAAGATGCAGCAGCAGCAGAAAGTCAGAGCTCCTTAAATGCCCAACCCCAAATCCTTCCCCATCAGGATGCTGGCAGGGTCCCACCTACATGTTCTCCTAGGTAGAGAGGAAAAATTGTCTTCATTCGTTTATTCACTTCATTCGTTCATTCACTCTGAAAACGTGAGCTAATTAGCTCCAGCCACTGTGTTCACACAGGTGGAGGGTGTGAGTGAGAATCCTCCCTGCTCTTTAGGAACTGTAGGGTGGAGAAAATGGAAAAGCCTAGGCTGAGGCAGCACTGTAGGCCTGGGGGAAGGAGGGGCTGGCTGGCAGGAGGTGGCCTCAGCTGCGTGTGGTGCCCCTGTGATTGAATGTGGCAAGTGGGTAGTTAAGGGAGCTCCAAAGGAAACGATGATTGAATTATGGTCCATCTTCTTTGTGGAATATTATGTGGCCACTAAAGGTCATAGTCAAGATGACAGTTTACTGGTACGGCAAGACCATCAAGGTGCAGTTAGGGAAGAGAGCATTGGATAATGTTTTTTGTGAAATGGTCATGAGGCTAGCCAGGCCCAGTGACAAACACCTGCAGTCCCAGCCTCAGTCTCACCTGCAGTCTCAGGTGAGGTGAGAGGATGGGCTGAGGCCAAGAGCTCAAGACTGTAGTGATTATGCCTGTGAATAGCCACTGTCCTCCAGCCTGGGCAGCATAGCTTGACCCTGCCTCTAAAAAATGGTCCTGAGTTCCACTAGAGAATCCCACAGATGCATAGAGATTGCAGAGGACAGTCAACAATGAAATCTGTGGTGTTAATGTGATTTAAGTTTTCTTTTAAAATGATTTCCTTAATGTGACTGAAGTAGATGGAGTTTTCCCATCGACAGATAGTTTTTTTCCTTTCCAGCAGCCATTTGTGGTGAGTTCATTTATGGGTTTCTGACTATTCGTTTTCATGTCTCAATCCTGTAATAAGTCTGTCAGCCTGCAGTGACTAAATGACACCAACTGAGAGAAAATGGAAATAGTAGGGAGGGTGTTTTGACAGTTTAATTACCCTCAAGTCATAGCCCAAGCACAAATAGGGCTGCTTCGGTTGTGAGGACATCTGGCTTCAGAACTGGTGGAATGCGTGCCATTCTTTTCCAGTGCGACGGTGCTTCTGAGGTGCGGGGATGATGATGGGACAGCCCTGCAGGCCACCTCTCCCTGTTCTTCAGCCCCTGGGGCTCCGACATTTTCGTTCTGGGTTTTTTCCTGAAGAAACAGGAGGGCAGAGGGATCCAGGGTGTGTGGCCATGGGGGTTTTGTAAGGGTCTGTTGCATTGTGGGGTCTCACACTCATTGCGTGCCCTGTGCTGCCCTGGGCAGCAGCCTTCAGGATAGAGATTTTTTGAGTTTATGGTTTTGCTGAAATCAACTGGGAATACTTTTTTGTTTACAAATCACAAATGCCAGTCTGTTCATACATTCTCATAGTTACCAGAATATTCCTTACCCGTTCATCCCTGATAGCAGAAGGAAACTGGCTGATCAGGGTCAGGATGAGGGGGTGTGGGTGTGGGAACTGTCTTACTTGGTGAGGGCCTCCCAATATGGCGGGCCTCCTCACCAGCGGGAATGTGTTTCCACAAAGTCCTCCAGCTCTGTCCATCTGACATTCCATCTCTGTCTCCGTTATTCTTACTCAGCACTTCTCTTTCCAGCCCCCGTGCTGCCCCTCCCCTCCCTGTGACCTCTGCCTTGCTGTTACGGTTTGCACAACCCAGTTTGTGTAAAGTGGATACATCTAGAATGTTCTGCCCTACAAAAGTGGCAGCTGTTTTTTTTTTCCATGTGAAAGCATTTAATGTCCTTAGCCACTATAAATAATGATAGATAACGCACTTTGCACAGACTGTATTTCAAAAAGAATTTTTTACAGCCTGCCCTGTTGGTAGGCAATTTCTGTTGTTACATTACTCAAAACAAAGCTTGCACATCTGTGATCTTTGATCAGTGGGAACAGAAACTTACAGCAGATTTAAGTCCCTTGCCCGCTGTCCTCTGCTTCGCCAGTGGTGGGGCTGAGGTGGAGCCCGAGCTCCTGGCCCATCCTCGTCCACTTATAGGTGCCTGCATCTGGAGGGGCGCACTGCTCGCACCAGGGGTCTCCCTCATGTTTGCTCACATGGGCCTCTGCGTCCGACAGGCACCCCCCTAGCCTTGCTGGCTGCGTTCCTCTGGGAAGCAGAGCCTCCTTCAGATCCCACAGCTCCCAAGTCTACCATTGCACTTTTCTCCCTAAATGTATTAATATTTGAAATGGCTGCTTCCGGGACTTCCGAGGGGTGGATGAGGGAAAATGTGGGCCAAACAAGACCGGAGGCTCCTTGTTGCGACGAGGCCTGCAGCCCCATGTGAAGTCCCTGTGCCTACACGTCCAACCTGCCGTCTGTCACTAAGTGCTCTGTGAGCATACTGTGTGCGTGTCCCGTGTGCGGGCGCCCTGTGTGGGGGCATGGTGCAGCCACAGGACAGCCGGGGTGATGAGGCAGCTGTCCCTGGGATGAGGACAGGATGACAGTGACTTCTGACCTCCTCTCATAGAAAAACGTGGATGCCGCACCACCCAAAGTGAAAGGCTGAAGTTGGAAGTCCCTTTTATCATACATGTTCAAATTGCCTGTGGAAATGCAGCAGAAATATGACATGCATTTCCATTCTATCTGCCTTTTACCCTCTCAACCTTAAATCTACTTTTAGTTCTCTGAAGACTTCTAATGACTTGGGAAAATACTTTTAAAGGATGTGAAGTGGTGTTTTTCTGTCTGCTGTTTGCTGAGTATCAGTATTTTAAGCCTTGGTTCCCTGTGGAGGAGAAGTTGGCGGTGGGGAGGTGGGCTGGCTGCTTAGATGAGGCCTGCACACGTGATGATGACTACTGAAAACAAAGCGCGGTGCTTAACTGGGCGTGTGGCCACGGGGATTTGTTATTAATTACCTTTGATCTAACTTAGGCGAAACGGAGAACAAAATTATAGGGTCACAGAATCCCAGGTCTAGTCATAAACAAACAAACAAAAATAAGTCCTGCACAGTTTTAAAATGTTTCCACTAATTATGCTTCTGGGAGCAGTGCTGGTTTTCTTGTGCTGAGACCGCCTCGCGTGCTGTGGGCTGACGTGGGCTTGTGTGTTGACAGCGGGAGAAGGTGCATACTGGATTCATGTCCCGGGGCTGCCCTCACAAAGTGCTACACAGACTGATGGCTTAAAACAGCAGGAATGTGTCTTCCCCCAGTTCTAGAGGCCAGAAGTCGGCGTGTCAGTGGGGGTAGGTTGCTTCTGGAGACTCTGAGGGAGAATGAACGCATACTTGTTTACAGTATTCTAAACATCTTTTACAGTAACCGTTGTCTTTGTAGTTATTTCTCTCTCTTCATTCTGTTTCTGGGGTGCCTCTTCTCCTTTTCCTTAATTAGTTTTGCTACATATTCATTGTATTATTTCAGGGAAAAAATGTCAAAAGAATCTCAAGGCTGGATGGAATTTTCAAGGGCACCCATCCCAAGCTCACTCCGTGCCAATAATCTCCTTACTCCACACCCGGCTGGCCGGCACAGAGACCATCCCACTGAGGACATGGTGCTGTCCTCAGCAGCTCCAGCCTGCACTTCTACCCACCCCCAGCGCCTGTGCTTCTCCAGGTTCAGTGAAGAAAGACTGGCGAGGGGTTGGAAGGAGGCTCACGAGGCTGAATCTCCACAAAGTCATGTCTGATGTGTTTGACAGCTCCTGGGATGTCTCTACAGTAGCTCCTCTTGAAATCTAAAGCAACATGTCCACATTCTAAACCACTGTCAAAGATAGTAACAGAAGTTAAAAAGTGGGGAGAGGGCAGGGAAACAGACTAGATAAGAAACAGCAAGGAAACAAAAACAAAACGTGACAGAGGAAGATCATCCACAGTCTATGGCAGTGAAGAGGAATGTGTTAACACTCCTCTGTAAGAAGAAAAAGACGGCTGGGCGTGGTGGCTCACGCCTGTAATCCCAGCACTTTGGGGAGGCTGAGGCAGGGGGATTACCTGAGGTCAGGAGTTTGAGACCAGCCTGACCAATATGATGAAACCCCATCTCTACTAAAAATACAAAAATTAGCCGAGCATGGTGGCATGCACCTCTAATCCCAGCTACTCAGGAGGCTGAGACAGGAGAATTGCTTGAACCCAGGAGGCGGAGGTTGCAGTGATCTGATTGCGCCATTGCACTCCAACCTAGGCAACAAGAGCGAAATTCCATCTCAAAAAAAAAGAAAAAAGGACATGTTGTGTTAAAATCAAAATTCAAGTATGTTCTGCTTTAACGAGAGAGGCTAAAGAGCATGCATGACATGGGGAACTAGCAGGAATTCACCAGGAAGGATTAGCAAAGAAGGGGCGAGATCAAAGGTGACTTGAGAGCCACACAGGAGAACTTTTGGAGAGAATCATAAACCTAAGCAAAGGAACCTGAGAGAGAGCTGTAAGAGGCACTGTCCTACTTGACCAGGGTGGGGCATTGGGGAGGTGAGGACAGAGCACGTATGGGGTCCTTCCTGGGCCCAGAGCTCATGGAACTTACTGAAGGGTTGAGTGAAGGGAGGGACCTATCCTTCATGACTCAGATTCCTCCTCTGTAAGGAAGGATGGTAATCATAACATGATATGAAGATCCATAGACGCTTATCAAGTGCCTCGCACATGCTACTCAAATTACAGCCTGAAGACATGCATGCTCCCTGGAGCCTGTTAGAAATGCAGGCTCTCCCTCACCCCAGCCCCACTCAGAGCCACTGAGTCAAGGTCTGTATTTCAGCAAGGTCCCCAGGTGATGCAGGATGCCCCCTGCACTGAGAAGTGCTACAGGTTTGATGAAGACACGAACATTGAAGGATGGACTGTGCTGGCCACAGTCCTGTAAGTTCAGCATTAAGAATAGTGTGAGCACCTGTGAACTCTGCACGGCCGGAGTGAAAGTTAGTGTTCATCTCTTGGAATAACATGACTGCTTTTGTTCTAATTTTTGGCAGATGCTCGAGGATCTGCTCTGTGGGATGCACTGGAATTCTCTCTACTAACACAGTTATTTTTGCTTTTGTTTAAAAAAAAAGCAGCAAGCAAAACTATTGTCTTCACTCAACTTCTGGTATATACAGCTAGGAAAGAAAAAGTGAAAACTTTTAGTGTGGGGGTTTCATTTTCTACTTAATCTTGCTCACCAAATTTGTGCCTTTTCTTGTGGGACATCAGGGCCCCGATGTCCTAAAGCAATGTTAACCTGCATCTCAGCTGTGTTTCAAGTGTGTGGTCTTCTGTAAACCCTAACAGGTTGGCCTGAAGGCTGGGTACCTCATACCCACGTCTTTTAACTCCCTTCCTCCTCTCTTCCCCAGAAGGCAGTAGCAGCAGGTTCTTTTTTGTAATGGATAATGTATGTACCTCAAGAGGAAATGTACAGTGTATACAGTGGAAGAAGAAATACGCAGTCTGCAGTCCAGTTCCCTTCTTCCCACTTACCAGTTTTTTGTGTGTATGAGAGAAATATTCCATAGATTTAGTAATATATGCATATGAAAAGGAAGTCCTTTTAATCTGGATAAAAATCACCTTTTATAAAAGGTGAAGATTTAATAGTCATGTCTTAAATTAATTTTCAAAGTATATAAAACAAAAATGTAAAAATAAGACAGAGTGATGGAAACTGTAGGAGTGTCAATGCATTGCTATTAAACTGATCAAGATATAAAAATAAATGGAACATTTGAAAGAAGCTCTTAGATTTCGCACTGCAAAGGTGTCTGAATACGTTTATAGAAGTAGAAGCTGCATACCTCCGGATACTAGGGGCTTTGTTTTAAACTTCGTGCCTCTCTGGCGATTTTGGGAAAGTTGATCAGTTCTCTGAGCCTCAAGCCCCTGAAGCTGGGATCCTAAGAGTACTTCCTTCATGTCCCCTGCTGAGCACAGGCCGGAGAGTCAGCACTCAGTGAGGGGCAGCAGTTACCACTCCCAGTAGGATACCTGAAGTTTGTAGATGTCTGTAAATGAACAAATGCGTGCTCTGCACCCACTTGGAAATGAAAGACTACTCCCATAAATTATGTATTGAGTCAAAAAAGTGGGAGTGGAGGACCCTGCAGGGCTGATTCTTTCCTCCACCCTCTTTCCAGGCTCCACCTCTGTTCTTCCAGGGCTCGGGCCAGGAGCCTTGGGGCCAGTTGGCCTTTTCTCTCGACACTACCCTGGCTGCCACCACCCTTTGTTGAGAGCCTCCCTGCTGGTTCTCTTGCTGCCCCTTGTTTCCAGCAAGGCAGCCAGTGTCACAACAGGAGCCAGGGCTTGTGCTCCCAGCACTCCCATGGACACACTGTGCCCACAGAAGCACTTTGAGAGGCCAAGGAGGCCCTCTCTTCTCTCAGCACCCCTCCTAGCTGCCCAGTGGGCTCTGACCTCTTCTGCTGCCCCTCCTGGCTCACTCCCCTCCTGCCACTCACTGGCCTGTGGCTTGTCCTGAGACCCTCCAGACAGCCATTCAACCATCAGGAAGGAGAAACAAAATTATTACTATTTGTAAACAGTTTATCAGTACTTACCTAAAAATCCTGGAGAATGAGCTCAGAAATATTATTAAGGGTTGAGACAGTTTAGCAAAATGAGCAGATACAACCTCAAACCACACCAAACTAGAAAGCTCAGAGGACACAGAAATGCCAGTACTGAGCTGGCAACATGTCTGTTGTTTGTGAAAATGTTCTCTGGAAGAGGTAGTTCAAGGCTTTTGGCTACAAGTAACACATACCCCAATTCAGCCAGCTTCAAAAATAAGAAAGAATTATCTCTTATGATAGAAAGTCACATAGAGGAAGGGCCCTGGTTTAACTGCATGGCTCAGCAACATCCTCGGGCTGGGCTCCTTCCATGGGCCCCTGCTGCGCCCCTCAGCTCCTCCCCCTCCATCTCCTCCCCCTCCATCTCCTCCCCCTCCAGCTCTCCTTCCTGGCAGAGAGGTCCGCCTGGGTCCTCACAGATGCAAGAGTGTACACTGGAAGGAGAGTCCCTTGGGCACATTGTATAATTTATTTGGGTTTCCGCTTTTGAATCTATAAAATGGAAATTGTGTGTATCTCATAGCATTCCTCTGTGGCTAGAATGACAGGCTGTATGTGAGATACTTGGATCTGTGGGGAAAATGCACTTAGCATGTCACAGGACCCTGAGGTCCTAGTTCTCTTCCATGCTTCCTGCACTGAGAGGTACTTGGTCAGAGGCAGGCAATCTGAATGCTCTCCCCAACATCCAGTCAGTTCTCATTTATCTTGGTCTTTCATTTTCCCTCACCCATTTTTTTTTTTCTTTTCCTTTCAGTTTGCAAACCATTCTCCTTGGGAGAGAATACCATTTAAGGTAGTTTATTTTGTTAGTTGTTTTATTTCTTAATCTTCTTTATTCTCTGTGCACATGCAAAGCCCCTTTTTTTGGCTAGAGTCGTTGCTTCAAGCTGCAGCTCCCTTGGGCTTTGTTTTCCTGACTTCATTCTGTATTTGTTCCTGGTAATAACCTCATTTTGTAATTTTGCTCTTTAGTCACAGGGCTTCATTTGGAACACTCACATTTTTGTTGTCGCCATGCTTATTTGTGATTGTGGAGTTGAGGTTTTGACTTTAAGGTGCTTTTGATGCCAGAGCCATGTGCCATAGAATCACCTGTGCGTTTGTGGGAACGTCTTTGCCGTGATCTCTCTGAAGTCTGTGGGCACATTCCAGGCCCTGCTGGCCTTCTGTCCGCGGGCTTCATGCAGGGAATGAAGTGTCCTTGCTTTCTCTTTCCTGAGTAAGTCTCTGCCTCTGTGAGAACTGGGTCTACCTTCTCTCGGTTGCTTTTCTCTGTGAGAGCCTGAATGGTAAGCATGGCCAGCGTCCTGCGAGGACGCTGTGCCCCATGTGCCCTGGGTTGGGAGGGGCTGACTAAAATGATGCCAAATGAGCAGAAGCTGAGCAGCTGCCTGGGTCAGCGCGGCCTCTGCGTGCTGCTTTCCCGGCCGCACTGCCTCCACCTGGCCAGGGTCCCTCAGCTGCTTACATGAGGCTCCGGCCTCCGGCCCTGCTGCCCTTTAACCTCAACTGCAGCCTCTCCAGTGTGGTCACCAGTTTTTTCACCTGAGGGTTCATGTTCTTGACAAGTACACAGTTTATTCACCTCCTATCCATTCTCTTTTATATTCCAAATAGCTCTCCATCTCCATGTTCAAATATTTCAATCCCATCTCACCAATTCCTGGCGGGATCCATCACTGCAGCTGTGAACACGCATATACCCACTGGATTGGATGCAGGTGCTGGCGTTTCTGGTTCTGCAGCGTGAGTGGCCACATTGCAAACATAGCCTGGCCGCGTCTCTGCGACAAAGACCACACTCCCGCCCCTCCCTCACCTGCAGCAGGGGGTTGGGCTCGTCCCCTCAACAGGAGCCACGGGCTTGGCACAGGCTTGCTGAGTGGGGCAGCCAGTCACTCCTGTCATGTCAGAAACAGGTGTGTCCCAGGAAACCCATGCACACCCAGCACAGTCTGGCAGCGCCGAAACCCAGATCCAAGTCGTCACTCGTCCCATCAGTCACTCCTCTCATGTATTTATGGAATGTCTGCCACATGCAAGGTGCCATTCTGGGCTCTCAGGGCACCAAGATGAGTGATGCTCTGCCCTCGTGTTCAGAAGGCTCAGGAAATCATACCATACTGGGCAATTGCTTCATCCTCATGGGCGTGCCTTGTTCTGGGTGCCAGAGGACGGGGGTGCCTGCTCAGCTGGGAAGGCAGTGACAGGCAGCAAGAGGGGGCTGCCTGGTGATTCTGAGCTGAGACTTACAGATACATGGGAATTAGCCAGACCAGAGGCTGGGAGGAGCCTGGCATGAGGTGGTCACAGGCATTCCAGGAGACATGGTCTGCGTGATGAAAGCCCGGGATATGTTATCTAGTGAGGGCCCAGGGAAGGCAGACTGGATCCAGGCGGTGTGATTACTGCTGGAGAAGGAGAACAGGGCAGGAGCCCCTCATAGCAGCCCCTGCCCCTCTGGAGACTCACCCTCCCATGAGTGATGGGTGGCGAGGAGTGTAGGGCCAAGCCTGCCACAGCTTGGGTGGCAGGAACGAGCTCTGCCCCTGCTGCCCTGTGTTGAGGCCCTTGCCCATGGCTGGAGGGGCAGCTGGGCCAGAGGGGACAGAGCAGGGAAGCCAGGGCGTGGCTGGAGAGGAGGAGAGGTGAGACCAGAGACCCACGTGCCCTGGGTTGGGAGGGGCTGACTAAAACGATGCGGGGATCCTGGTGGAACTGGAGCGCTGTCAGGAGTCAGGCCCCTGGGCCCCTGGCCTCTGTCCCTCCTGGGCCACACGCTGTGTCAGCCGCCTCTCCCTCTCCCTACATTTCTACCCTTCCCTCTGCGGCCTGCTGGACTTTCCTGCATCCCCAGGGAAGATTGGCCCAGCCTCCCTGACACGCTACTGGCCAGTCAGCTGGGCTGGAGAAGTGGCAGGTCCTGCTAAGAATACAGGCTGCCTGGCCAGCCCCCGGCACCCTCGGGACTGGGCCAGCTCACTGAGAAGGGATGGTTGTCAGTTAACATCACAGCGTATCCTCCCAGTCTTTGCTGAGCCTAGAGCTCCCTTTCAAACCATGCCAAGACTCCCAGTGAGGAAGAGATGATGGCGTTCAGAGTAAAACGACTCCAGCATTGTCTGGAGACAGATGACATGCCGAGGGTACTAGTGCAGCCCGGCTGGGAGGCTGGCTGTGGCGGCCCTTAATTCTTAGCGCTCCACACAGGGGCCCATGATGCCCCCAGTCTCCTGTGGCTCTCCCATCCCACCCTTGCCTGAACTTCTTTCTCCACTTCACCATCCTGTTTCGAGAGACGCCTGTCATCGTAGGAAGAGTCTGACTGTCTAGCTCACTACTGGGTTCAAGTCCTGGTGCTGCTGTAGCAGTAGCGTGGCCTTGGTGAGGCACTCCCTCTTGCGGAGCCCCTGTTCTCCCACCCAGTCCCCATCCTGTGCCATTCCCCACCGTGCGCACATGGCACAGGCTGGCCTGATGGACACTGGCGACATGAGGGGCAGCCATGGTTTTACTCACCTCTTATTACCCTTTCTACCCCATCTTCTGGAGTCTTCCTGCAACCCCAGCCTCTTCCTAGAATGTTTTGTGTATTTTCTTGAACCAAACCATCAACCACAAACCAGAACTGAAGGGCTCCTCCCAGGGCACAGCCCGTGTAGGGAAGGGAGGTGTGGTGGAGTCTCCTTGCTCCTGGCTGACACCTCTGTGCAGATTGTCCCCACCACATCAAATCCTGCACCAGTGGGCCTGTCGCTCCTTGTCACTATTTTGGCTCCCATCTGTGACCATCACACATTGTTCCCTTTGTCCTTGAGGCTTTTGGAATCTCCCTGGTTAGTTCTCCTGTTGCCCTTTCCCACATCCCTGTCAGCAAATGAATCACCTGGACCTGCTTTCCCTGGTAGTGGAGGCTGCCGGCCATGTTCACCCACCCCTCTGCCAAACCTGTGATGGCCAAGTCCCTTGCTTTGCTTTTCAGGGCAGCACCGCACATGGCTTTGTCCACTCAGCCCACTGTCTCGGGTGCCTTCCTGTGTACCAGCTCCCAGCTAGTGGGCTCCAAGTGCTTCACCAGAGGCCCCTGCCCTCGCCGAGCTGTGTTCTCCCCAAAAGTCCTCTCTGTCCTGTGTGTCTCTCCCCACCCCTGCCCATATATGCAAGCGTTTCCATCCTTACAAAGGCACCTTCCCTTGCCCTGCGTGACTTCCAACTGCTACCTGTCCCCTCCTACAGTCTTCACCCCCACCCTGGACTCTTTTCTCCCTACTGTGGCAGGGACCTGTGTCTACCATGGTGTGAAACTGCAGAGAAAGAGCACGGTAACCCCAGGGCCACAGCCACTGGAAATGTGCCGTGCTTATTTTGATCTCTCTTCAGCTGGGGAGAGGACATCACTTTTTCCTGAAAATTCTCCCACCCCTTGCTGCCCTGGCTCCTGGCGAGCCACCTCCTGCCACGTCTTCCCATTGCCTACGTGTCCTTCTCATCAGCCTTAGATGCTTCGTGCTCCTCTCCTGGCCTCAGTGCTGCTCCTTCCTGCAGCCTTCTCCTGGGCACGCCCACGTTTCCATCACCACCTTCCCACAGGAGGCTCCAGAGCTGCTACCGCCCTCTCCAGCCCAGCACGGACTTTTTCATCTGCCCGCCCTTGTCCTGGTGCTGCTGTAGTAGTAGTGTGACCTTGGTAAGGCTACTTACCAAGAGTAGAGTACAGAGTACAGTAGAGTAGAGTAAGAGTACAGAGCCCCTGTACTCCGGTATTGCCCTGCCTGTTGGGGGCCTTTATTGAGACCAGAACCTAGGGCCTTTTTTCTCAGCCTTTGTCCTTCTCAGCCCTTGTCTCCCTCCCCATGCACTCCCCATCGAGTCAATCCCAGGCCAGTCATTGCTGACAGCCTCAGCGCCTCATTCTCTTCTCTCCATTTTTTCTCTAATATTCAGAAGCCTTCATCATGTCTTGCCTAGACTATTGCAATGCCTTCTTTTTAAAAATCCTCGGCTTTTTAATTGTATAACATATTGCAGGATCCAATCTAAATAAAACATAGTCTCTGCCCTTGGGAAACTCATGGTAATGGCAGTAGATCGACTTGTAAATAGAACACACCCAAGGTGGTGGGCGAGATGCATCAGAGCAGCGCAGGTGGCATCTGTGGGACCACACGGCATCTCACTCAGGTGGTGTCTGTGGGACGGCACAGGTGCAGGGCAAGGCGGCGGCTCACACAGGTGGTGTCTGTGCCGCGTGCCCTCCTGGCAGGAGAGAGTGCTCGGTGAGAGACAGTGCAGGCCTGGCCTGTGCTTCTGTTCTACATGCTCTCCTTCCGCACATGCGTGGATTCCCATGGTCTGACTTATGTGGGCTTTGGAGGTTTGGGACATCTTGTGTACCTTGATGGGCATGTTTCTAGAGTCAGAACTGTATCACACTGTGTCAGGGGGAGAACTGCAAAAAAAAAAAAAAAAACCCTACACAATATTCATACAGGGGCAGCTTCTTTGACACTCGAGTGTCTCCCTGAGCTAAATGAAGCCTCACTTCAAATATACCTGAGTCCTGTCACAAAATCAGCTTTACCCAGGGAACACCCAGCACTTCCACGGTTTCTCCTGATACTTTATTTACATATGCAGAATTCTATAGTGTTAATCTGCATGCTCACAGTAACCAGACCGAAAACAGCACCTCAGAGTGAGGGCTAGATTTGGGGTCGGGTGTCCAGCCTGTGCCCTCCCGTCACCTTCCGTGGTGCCCCCATGCCCTGGTCCTCAGCTTGTCACTAGGGAGTCAGCCTGCGGCTCCACTCCTGACCCGTGGAGCGTCCATCAGCTGCAGCCCGGCTATGTGTGCCCAGGTGCACGGCCTCCCTGCCTATGAGTAACTCGCGCCCTGAGGACACACTAGCCCAGCAGGGGAGAATGGAGACCTTACTTCAGAAATGGTCACCAGGCAACGGCGTGCCCAGAGGCATTGTGGAGCTTCTGTGATCATGCCAGGCTGAGTCGCAAAGCCTGGGTGGTCTTTGCAGCTCTTCCCATAGTTCACCGCAGACGGCCTTACCTTACTGTGGCCCAGTTCCCTCCACCCTAATGTGTGAACTGGTAGCGTGGAGTGTAGTCCACTAGAATCAAAGCCCTGAGAGGGCTTGTCACCACACCCCAGGTGCCCCCTTACCAGGCATGTTGGGTCCTTCATACACTGTCACTGAGTGAACGACGGGGCGTGGTCTGCTGGCCCTGCAGCCTGCACATATTCGGGGTGTGATGGGGCTTTCCCTTCTGTGCTCACCTATGTTCGTCTGTCTTTCAGGAGCCCAGCAGCCGGGGCCACCCTATTACACCGACCCAGGAGGACCGGGGATGAACCCTGTCGGCAATTCCATGGCAATGGCTTTCCAGGTCCCACCCAACTCACCCCAGGGGAGTGTGGCCTGCCCGCCCCCTCCAGCCTACTGCAACACGCCTCCGCCCCCGTACGAACAGGTAGTGAAGGCCAAGTAGCGGGGTGCCCACGTGCAAGAGGAGAGGCAGGAGAGGGCCTTTCCCCGGCCTTTTTGTCCCCGTTGATGTTCACTTCCAGGAATGGTCTCATGGGCCGCTAAGGGCAGTTCCTCTGATGTCCTCACAGCAAGCACAGCTCTCTTTCAGGTTTTCCATGCAGGACAATATATGAACTCACCCTGTGTCTCCTCTGTTGCTTCTGTTTCTGAGGCAGTCTGTGCTCTCAGGTGGTAGTGTGGTGATAGTCCCTGAGGGCTGATGTCCTTACGATGGCGTGACCAGATCTTCAGGAGAGAGACTGAGAGGAAGAAGGCAGTGCTGGAGGTGCAGGTGGCATGTGGAGGGGCCAGACCAAGCGTCCCAGGCAAGCATCCTTCTGCCAGGTATTAATAGGAAGCCCCACGCCGGGCAGCTCAGCCAACGAAGCAGCAGCCGGCTGAGCTGAACCCAGCAGGTCGTCTGCTCCAGCCTGTCCTCTCGTCAGCCTTCCTCTTCCAGAAGCTGTTGGAGAGACATTCAGGAGAGAGCAAGCCCCTTGTCATGTTTCTGTCTCTGTTCATATCCTAAAGATAAGACTTCTCCTGCACCGCCAGGGAAGGGTAGCGCGTGCGGCTCTCACCGCACCATGGGGCCTAGAATCAGGCTCGCCTTGGAGGCCTGACAGTGATCCAACGTCCACTAAGCAAAGTTATTTAAATTCACGGGAAATCACTTCCTGCCCTAAACTAAGACATTGCATTTTGTGAGCTCTTGGTCTGATTTGGAGAAAGGACTGTTACCCTTTCTTTCGGTGTGTTTATGGAAGTGTATGTAGAGCGTCCTGCCCTTTGAGATCAGACTGGGTGTGTGTTTTCCAGTCTGATCTGATTCCAGTGGACATCACTGCCTCTCCAGGGCATTCTCAGGCCCGGGAGTCTCCTTCCCTCAGGCAGCTCCAGTGGTGGGTTCTGAAGGGCGCTTTCAAAGCACGGGGCACATCTGGCTGGGAAGTCACTTGGACCCTTCCAGGGAGAGAGACCAGCTGAGGCGTCTCTCTGTGAGGTTGTATTGGGTCTAAGCAGGTGTGTGCTGGGCTCCAAGGAGGAGGAGCTTGCTGGGAAAAGACATGACTGCTCTGACCATGTTGTTATAATTAGAATAAGAAGATGTGGTTGGAAATGCACATTCCTAGATAGGAATCACAGCTTACCCCAGGATCTCACAGATAGTCTCCTGAGTAGTTGATGGCTAGCAGGGAGCTAGCTCTGTTCTGCCGCGTATAGTGTTGATGTGTGAACCCTGACCTGTCCTGTGTGCTAAGAGCTATGCAGCTTAGCCAAGGCGCCTAGATTACTAGATGTGCTGTATCACGGGGAATGAGGTGGGGGTGCTTATGTTTTAATGAATTAATCAGAGCCTCTTGAGAAATTGTTACTCATTGAACTGGAGCATCAAGACCTCTCACGGAAGTGGATACGGAGTGGTTTGGTGTCCGTGCTTTTCACTCTGAGGACATTGAATTGGAGAACCTCCTGGGGAATTTTGTGGGAAACACTTGGGAACAAAACAGACACCCTGGGAATGCAGTTGCAAGCACAGATGCTGCCACCAGTGTCTCTGACCACCCTGGTGTGACTGCTGACTGCCAGGGTGGTACCTCCCATGCTGCAGGCCTACATCTAAATGAGACAACAAAGCACAATGTTCACTGTTTACAATCAAGACAACTACGTGGGTCCAAACACTCCTCTTTCTCCAGGTCATTTGTTTTGCATTTTTAATGTCGGTTTCTCCCTTTATTTTTTGTAATGAAAAAGCACACTAAGAGCTGCCCCTGGAATCGGGTACAGCCGAATAGGCACTCAAAGGTCCGTGACTAAATTTCGTTTATCTTTTTGATAGCAAATGATGTTAAGAGACAGTGATGGTTAGGGCTCAACAATTTTGTATTCCCATGTTTGTGTGAGACAGATTTTGTTTTCCCTTGAACTTGATTAGAATTGTGCTACTGTGAACACTGATCCTGCATATGGAAGTCCCACTTCGGTGACATTTCCTGGCCATTCTTGTTTCCATTGTGTAGATGGTGGGTTGTGCCCACCTCCTGGAGTGAGACAGCTCCTGGTGTGTGGAATTCCTGGAGCGTCCGTGGTTCAGAGTAAACTTGAAGCAGATCTGTGCATGCTTTTCCTCTGCGACAGTTGGCTCATTTCTCTTTTTCTCTTTTGATAGGATCCTGTTTCCTACGTGTGCAAAATAAAAATAAATTTGGGCATGTGCTTTGATTGTTTTGTGGGGGAGTGGAAAGAGGGTGGAGATGAAGTTTCTAATGAGGAAGGGTGTACAGCAGGATCCTTGGTTCAGTGGGGTGGGGTGGGTGGAGGATGTGCCTGGTCTCAGGGGAACCAGAAACTAGATGTTACTTGAGAATGTAAGGTACAAGCTATGGAGACAGTTGTCCCCAGTGGGTAGGAAGACAGATGCATCGCTAAAGTAATGTTCTGTTGATATTGTTAGTTAACCTTGAGCTAGGACTGTTTTTCACAGGTTGAAGGAGACTTCATTTTAAAACACAGCTCTGCTTGGTCAGAAATAACACTTCTCTCACAGATGCTACTGAAGGGTGTAGCTGCTACAGTTAAACTGCATTTTAATAATTTATTTTTTATTTTTTGTTTTAGAGATGGCCTCAAACTACTGGCCTCAAGTGATTCTCCTACCCCAGCCTCTCAAGCTGTATTTTAGATATATCACTAATTGACATAATGTTTGCAAAGAAGCATTTTCCATTTTGCTTCCTTTTTTTGTTTGTTTTTTAGAGACGGTCTTGTTCTGTCACCCAGCCTGGCATGCAGTGGTTTAATCATAGCTCACTGCAGCCTCAAACCTCTAGGCTCAAGCAATCCTCCCTCTTCCCAAAGCTGTGGGATTACAGGCATGAGCCACAGTGCTTGGTTGACTTTTGCCTTCTTAAAGCATGAGTCCTAGAGTGTGGTCCCTCCCCTAAAAGTCTTCTGTAGAACTTTTGGGGACCACTATTGTGTCCATCCCTGGGAGACTGGCAGTGCACACCAGTGTATTGAACAGTCTGAGAAGCATCTTAATGCTGTTTAATCCAGCACTCCCCCGCATTAGTAGGCCATACAGTTCTTTTCCTTGTAGCAGGCAGTGCTGGCAGTAAGCACACCACTTCTGCCCACCCCATATTTGAGGACGGCTGCCCTGAAAGGCAGAACAAAGAAAGGGCAGCAATGCTTCCAGCTCTGGTATTCTGCACCCTTGCAGCTGGGCCTTTATTAAAGTGCTGTTCTCAGGCAGGGTGCCGACAAATCCACTGACTACTTGGCATTGTGTGTGGTTTTTGAAAGTCTGTTTGATTTTTTTTTAGAATATATTTTGCATCTGTTTTCACCTTTAAAAGGCAACTGCAAATGACCCATTTTTATGATAAAACTAACTCAGAGTACAGGTGCAGCCCCACTGATGGAAACCGCTTTTGAGGCTTTGAGGTTTTAGATGACAGTCATCTAAAAACACCAACTTCTCAAACACATCAACTCCAGGCCTGGGCTGAGCCTGAGGAGCCCCTAGGAAGTTAGAGATTTTCAAGCTCAGAGGGCTCAGAAGAGGCCCAGTGGTTTTCATGCTGCATTAACCTGAAGGCTTCCCAACAATCGTCCAGGGGTTCCTCAAATGCTCAAGTACAAAATAAAATGTTATTTGACCACTTCTAGGTATTTTGTCCTGAAAAATTTAAAGCATACAGAAAAGCTGAAAAAAATTACCATGAACACTCATAAACCCACTACCTAGATTCCACAACTATTTATATACTATAAAAACTAGTATGCTTTAAAAGAAAAAACTAATGTACCTTTTCTAACACTTTATATACTGTATTTTAAAGCATTGATAGTCACTTTGATCCTAGAATAAGGTAAAAATTAGTTTATCCTCAAATACTGTGACCTTCCCCTCCCTTTTCATTGATCCTAAGTACAATTCTAGTCAAATCCTTCAGACACTGAGGTCTGACCCGCCCATTTTAGCAGGAAAACCTTATCTTCCCTCCTGTCCCATGACACCCTGGGGGTTCACTCCGCCCTTAGGCCACAGACCTGTCTCCACATTGATGTCATTGACAGCCACTCCTGTGGGGTCCCCTGCATGCTTACCTGCAGCTGCAGCTGACCCGGCCCTGCCCAGGCACTTCCAGAAGGGTTCCATCCTGGGTCACCTGCTGGGCCTATCCTCCAGCCCATCCCATAGTTGCAATACAGTCGCTCATCCAAACACCTTCACGTCCCTCCGAGCTGTGTTGGCCACCAGAAACCATGACCGTTGATCCATCTGATGAGTTTCCAGACCATTGCACCTCCACTGGGAAGGGCCAGGCCTCAGCCTTTCCTTGGAAGCTCCTTGGTGCCTCTGCAATTTTCCCACCTCCTCTTGGGGCAGCCAGCACTGCCACCATGGGCCACTTAGAGGGGAAGAAGGGAGCTGTGAGCTCCAAAGACCCCATCACATTCTCTCCTCTCCTCAGGGCCTTCTTTTTTTTTTTTTTTTTGAGACGGAGTCTTGCTGTTGCCAGGCTGGAGTACAGTGATGCAATCTCGGCTCACTGCAACCTCCACCTCCCGGGTTCAAGGGATTCTCCTGTCTCAGCCTCCTGAGTAGTTGGGACTACAGGCACATGCCACCACACTCAGCTAATTTTTGTATTTTTAGTAGAGATGGGGTTTCACCATGTTGGTCAGGATGGTCTTGATCTCTTGACCTTGTGATCCACCCATCTCAGCCTCCCAAAGTGCTAGGATTACAGGCGTGAGTCACTGCCCCTGGCCAGGGCCTTTTTCTCTGATTAAAAAATGTTTTAGTTACTCGTCAGCACTTAAGTATGTATTCTGAAAAAGAAAATACCAGTTTAGCTTGTTTTATATACTGGAATCCTGCTGTCAGTTTTACCTGATAGAAGGGGTATATTACAGGAACAAGTTTGATGGATACTGATCTCATCCAGGACCTCGTCATGTGGATAGGAAGTAAGTCAGAAGAGACTGAGCAGCTCACCTGATGTCACAGCCACCTATGGGGAAGAAGACCCCACCTGGCCAGCTTCCTCCAGTGAAATGGAAGCAGAGGTCGTTTACAAGGCAAATGTCATGACTTGAGATGCAAACTGAATGCTCACTTTGATCTGTCCTTCCCAGATATCACTGAACTTCAAAAAATCTGTAACAGGCCAAAAACAAAAAGTGTTGAGTAATTTTTGAAATAGGAGAGGTGGCTTGACTGATGGGGAAGCAGATCTAAGGAGATAGAAGTTGAACTGTACACAGAAGGTGGCTGGGGAGGGAAGAGGTGTTTCTCAGAGAGGCTCCACGTTGAGGCCGGCAGGTGCAGAGAGCAGAGGGGCCGTGGCAGGGACCGGGGAGATCGACCAGTGGCCATTGTGAGAATAGCTGTACCGGGGACCAGAGGTCTCCTTCCTGACTCCCTCCTGCCCCTCACCCCATGTGCACAGAGCAGCTGGCTGTAGGGATTAATGGCCCAGAGCTCATCTTCTCACAAAGGGATGCCTTACATCCGGGGTTCCCAACCCTCAGACTGCAGACTGGTACTGATCTGTGGCCTGTTAGGAGCTGGGTCGTACAGCAGGAGGTGAGTGGCAAGCGAGAATTACCACCTGAGCTCTGCCTCCTGTCTGATCAGCAGTGGTATTAGATTCCCATAGGAATGTGAGCCCTGTTGTGAACTGTGCAGGTGAGAGGTCTAGGTTGCATGGTCCTTATGAGAATCTAATGCCTGATGATCTGAGGTGGAAGTTTCATTCTGAAATCATCCCCACCACCCCCGGTCCATGGAAAAATTGTCTTCTACAAAACCAGTCCCTGATGCCAAAAAAGCTGGGGACCATGCTTTACATGGTAAGGCTCCTGGCATGGGTGAGGCAGGCTGTTGGCATTACTACCTGATTTTAAGTGTTTTGAACATTTTCTAATTTATCAATTAAAATGTTCATAGTTGGGCCAGGCACAGTGGCTCACACTTGTAATCCCAGCACTTTGGGAGGCTAAGACAGGAGGATAACTTGAATCCAAGAGTTTGAGACCAGCCTGGGCAACATAGTGACATCTCATCTCTTTTTTAAAAAATAAATTAAAAAAGTAAAATGTCTGTGATAAAACAGACTTTAAACCATCAGAGATCAAAAGAGACAAGGTCATTACATAATGGTAAAGGGATCAATTCATCAGGAAGAGCTAACCTAAACATATATGCATCCAATACAGTAGCACCCAGATTCATAAAGCAAGTCCTTAGAGACTTACAAAGAGACTTAGACTCCCATACAATAATAATGGGATACTTTAACACCCCACTGTCAGCATTAGACAGATCAATGAGACAAAGTTAATAAGGATATCCAGGAATTGAACTCAACTCTGCAACAAGCGGACCTAATAGACATCTACAGAACTCTCCACCCCAAATCAACAGAATATACATTCTTCTCAGCACGACATCACACTTATTCCAAAATTGACCACATAGTTGGAAGTAAAGCATTCTTCAGCAAATGTAAAAGAACAGAAATTATAACGAACTGTCTCTGAGACCACAGTGCAATTAAACTAGAACTCAGGAATAAGAAACTCAATCAAAACCGCTCAACTACATGGAAACTGAACAACCTGCTCCTGATTGACTAATGGGTACATAATGAAATGAAGGCAGAAATAAAGATGTTCTTTGAAACCAATGAGAACAAATATACAACATACCAGAATCTCTGGGACACATTTAAAGCAGTATGTAGTGGGAAACTTATAGCACTAAATGCCCACAAGCAAAAGCAAGAAAGATCTAAAATTGACACCCTAACATCACAATTAAAAGAACTAGAGAAGCAAGAGCAAACACATTCAAAAGCTAGCAGAAGGCGAGAAATAACTAAGAGCAGAACTGAAGGAGATAGACACACAGAAAACCCTCCAAAAAATCAATGAATCCAGGAGCTGGTTTTTTGAAAAGATCAACGGCTGGGCGTGGTGGCTCAAGCCCAGCACTTTGGGAGGCCGAGACAGGCGGATCACGAGGTCAGGAGATTGAGACCATCCTGGCTAACATGGTGAAAACCTGTCTCTACTAAAATATACAAAAAACTAGCCAGGCGAGGTGGCAGGCCCCTGTAGTCCCAGCTACTTGGGAGGTTGAGGCAGGAGAATGGCGTAAACCCGGGAGGCGGAGCTTGCAGTGAGCTGAGATCTGGCCAC